TGCTAATATTTTAACATTTACTAATCAAATAAGTCGAAAGCTTAACAACCTTTGGGATAAGTACAGATAATTTCGATCTATTAAAAAAATTATGTTCACCACGAACACGTTGCTGGTCCGATCCGGCACCGAGCCAAGCAAGCCAACCATCCTTCGGGGTCTACATTGGTACCGGACGTGTTCGAGAAAGACAATCCCTCTGCAAGCCACGTGGAAACGTTCTGGCGCGGCTATTTTAGCATTTCATAGAGAATCGGTCCAACTAGCATTCAACGACATCTATAAGAAAGACGAAAATCCCCAAACAGCAGCCAAACCCGCACACGAAAATTTCGGAAGCCTTTGTGGATGATGTATGTGAGGAATCGAACCAAATGCGAGAAGTGCTAGGATCTGCGCAGTAGATGAGCACGACGGGCTATGTAAAATAAAATGAAGGAAGTAAAAAGGTAACACCGTGTACGATTGAAATGCAAATAATTCTCTCCATCAGTTTTGGCACCACAATGAAACACACGCTTTATTATTATTGTCATTATTTCTGCTACCATTGTCTTTTTTAACAATTTCTAGATCTCATTATGTGAAGAATCTCGAGCAGGTTAGTTCCTTTTTTTCTGCCCAGCGACGAGGTTACGTTGAATGTCCTTGGTTGACGCAGATGCGGAAATGGACGCCGACCAAAAGTGATCATTATGGTTATTCGAATATATAATAGGATTAAAGAGCCGAGCTTTTTGTCAATTAGGCGGCTAGAAAAAACAAGGAAATCGTTACTTACTCATCAATAGCGCAATAGTTAGATGTACCCTGCGAAACACGCTTCGTCGTTGGTTCGATCTCACATCTTTGGCCAAAGAGGCTATCCATCCTCCGAGATTTGCAAATTCGTCCGAGACTTGTCTGGGAGGACAAAAACATTTGGCGTATTTTTCGAAGTCATCGTATAGCCCAGATGTATACTTAATCATTTCTGCAATGCTAAGAATGGGATAGAAGACATGGCATATCTCTAAAGGATTCACAAACCCGAATGGTTCAGCCTTTGAATTTTGTCCTTTAGTTCAGATGATCCTCTATTCATTTGTAAGCTTCACCACCTCTTCTCCAAAGGACACCGACCAGTTTACCATTCTTAATCAAAGTTGTCCTCAGCATTTGTGCACTATGAGCAAGTAAGGCTCATTAGATGGCTTCTGACATGAGACAAAATCAGGATCATGTTGAAAATCTGTTGGTGCTCACTCAAGTTCCTCCTGATTAGCGAAAATAAGGTCACACAGATATTTCTCATAGTTTGAAAAATCCTTATTGTACTTTGCTGTTACATAGTTTCTTCGGGGCTGATTTCTCCGTTCTTTGTCATGGATTATCGCATCCTGATGGGTTTTTGTCAGATTTTCGCCAGCACCACCATAATAGGTGAAAAATATGCGCTGAAAAGTAGCACTAAGGTTTCCGCCTGTTGTATCGCATTATTATATTTTTATCAGTCTTATTAACAAGAAAGTGTCGACAACCGTTGACGAGCAAAGTACGTCCGACCATAATGTGAATTTTGCTCAACCCATCTCATCTGTTCATCTTTGGTTGTTTTGTGATCGCCTTTTGCCAAAACCATACTTCTTTGACATTAAATGTTTCATGTGTTATTCACGAATCAGTAAAATGGGAATCGGCAAATGCGCTTCGCACCCAATTCGGTCCATTGTGATGATGAGATGATAAGTGACAAAGACCTTGAGTAATGAGCACGTGAGTAAAAACCTCTTGTTGCAAACAGTTCAATCATCGCCAGTAATAAATACCAATTTGATCGGTTCAAGGCCAGGAAGTTCATTGATTTGCTACTTTTTAGAAAAGTTTTCCACTCAGTACTAATTGTGGTCGTCTGTCAAAAGTTTATCACCTCTTCCGAATAGGTGGTGTTTCTGGGTGTCCAATTATGATATATAGCGCTGAAGTCATCATCCTATACGCCTTGCCACCTCACCATAGAGGTCTGGGCCTGAATAGATGTCTATGAAGTGTAGTAGGAGATCTTTTCTACGGCAACGTTGCCCAAGCGAAGAGCTTTATCAATTTGAAGTCCAGTAGAAAGCAGAGCAGTTTCTGCAATCTTTGAGAAGAAACTTAATGGCAAGATGGTAGTAGACGTTCACGTCGATTCGAAAGGACCGTTGGCTACCTCTGCTGATGACTTCAGAAGGTTGTGGAACCCATTTCTCGGCACTCCAAAGCAAGACTTTTGCCAAACCAACATCGTAGAAGTTAAGTGAAAAAAAAATGGTAGATTCTGCTAGGTACTTCATGAAAGTAGACCATTCAAGTATCAAGAAGCTGTTGGGATAGGTGGTTGCACTATTGGCTTACTTGCCTTGCAAGACTAAATGTTCCCAAGAAATTAAAACCGTCTTTAAATAAACAAAAAATTACCGCTTCTTCATCAACATGCCATCTCTTAGATTTGATTAATTCGTCACATCTCCATTTTGTTATAGGTATTAAACTATTCTTGTTGTCAAGCAAATATTGACTAGTTTCCTAAAGTGCTCTTCCACGAGCATTAACAAAAAGCCGCTATCTAGTAGTCATCGATGAGGTCAAGGAATTATTAATGTTGAGTAAAATTCAAGACCTGATGCTTGGTTACATATTGATTTTCAACAATAGAAAGGTTGGAAAAAACAGAAAGGGGAAGAGGAAACAGCGACCATGACTCATGTAGACTACAGCTGATAAAGTCCACTTTTAATATGCGTATTGATCGATGACAACTGATTGAACTTTTGTGGCCTTGAAATGTTCGCGCTTTCAGATCCACAGCAGAGTGAAGTCGTAAGCATTGCCAAAAACCACCTTGAAAACCAGTCGTAAGGCCTACAATCAGTTTTTCGTCTTCGACAAAGAGTAGTTTTGAATGTTATTTGGAAATGTTCACGTGAGTAATTCGGAATGATGATTAGATTCCTAAACTCCAAACCGGTTTCACATAAAGTCCTACGGTAATATTCAGATTTCCTCAAAAAAACAATTTTTGCTAAGAGGACTCGAACATCGAATATTCATTGCTGTGTCAATCATTCGGATATTCGATAGTTGGATTTAGTCGTGAGTGATTTTGAAGCGAACTGGACACGTTTGGACAACTTTCTAAACAACTCACTTTAACGCTAGCTGACGTTTCGGCAGTATCGCCTTCTTCAGAGCCGCTTTTTCGTGACTCTGAGGCTCTGAAGAAGGCGATACTGCCGAAACGTCAACTCACTTTAATTTGGTAAGAGTAAGGTGTCGAACTTAACCCTGTGTTGATGTTACCCACTGAGAGCTACGAGCTATGTTTTCAGTTCTAAATTATAGCTCTAAATGCTTACGATGAAATTCTAGATTCTTAACACGGGGCGATAATATGAGCCGCATATGACTCATCGCGCCACTGTACTTCTTTTATGTTCCACTCTTTAAAATCAGAAAAAAAAGTTTTGAAAGGAAATTTTGTTGCTATGTACTAAGTATAATTCTCCAGCTCCCTCAAAATTGAAGAAAGAAGTTATGGTCAGCTTGTATAAGTGCCAGAAAAGCTCCGGCAATAAAACTTTATCCGATTGTCAAATTGCCAGAGAATTTTGATTATTGCAAAAAACATAAAGGATAAAGGATAAAACTCTCAGCGTTGATCAATCCTTGAGAAGTGCGCCATGCATTCGACTTCATTAAGTATCGCTGGATGTGATTGAATGAATCTGGCCTTTACAATGACTCGCAGAGGCCTAACGATGTATCGAGCCAGTGCTGCTGCCTTCCAAACAAGTTTGGTACCAATTTGCCGATCCACAAGGGTCGGAAAATCTGGTGAGCCACGGGCTCTAGGGTCGACTCCACGTATGTGTCGCAGTGGCGCCTCCAACCATTGTGCCACACGCGCCCTCATAAAAAAAACATGGTAAAATATAGTAGAAAAAACTTCGATGCTTCGAAACATTTTTCAAACCGACCGTTATTTAAGTTCGGTAATAAAACAATCAACATGTTTTAAATCGCTGAGCTTACACGAGGTCAGCGAACAACTTTTATTCGGCTAGCATTCCGACGTTCTCGTCTTCATCAGAGCCGATGATCCGAGTTTGGTTCTATGCTTCAATTCTTCAGACGATCAATGAATTGAGGAAAAATTCATACTGAATGCAGTTGATTTTACCGATAGAGTCAGTAAATTTTCACTCACATTGAACTCCATATCTCGAAATCATCGCCATCATATGCATCGATTTGCATTGCAAAATGTGGTCACCTTTTTCAACTTAACAAACGCGTAGTAAGCGTCATTAATTCAATGTAACTACAGTAAGAGTCTCTTGATCTTTGCCAACGAGGCAATACTTTTACGCTTCGATGTAGATAAAAATATGATGTTCTGTGACTTAAAGGATAAGGGATAAAGCTCTCAGCGTTGACCAATCCCTGAGGAATGCGCCATGCATTCGACTTCATTAAGTATCGCTGGATGCGATTGAATGCATATCTGGCCTTTACAATGACTCCTGAAGCCTTACCGATGTATCGAGCCAGTACTGCTGTCTTCCAAACAAGTCTGGTACCAATTTGCCGACGCCGGAGGGATGGAAGGCTTGGTAGGCCCTGGGCACGGGGATCGATTTCACGCTTGTGTCGCAGTGGCGCCTCCAACCACTGCGCCACACCCGACCTTCCACGTTTTGTGGCTTACAAAACTTATTCACACAAGGCTTCCTTTTGCGATGAAGCTTATACTTCGTAAAGAGAAGCGCTTGATTAAGCGAGTTTTCAACCATCAGAGTTGACGATGTACGCGGATGAATTCTGGTGCTGACACTCCTCTTAAATATGAAAAATTTTAATTTCTTACTAAAAACTCCGGTTTTATTTTCATTCACGTAGAAAAGCCACTAGACACGGCAAATCGTATTGAATCTGTTAGTAGACGGAACCAGTGTGCATTAGAATAATGTCTGAACTTCCAGAAACGTCAATCTTCGAAATCGATCCGTAAGGAGATCAGAATGCTGAGTGCTGACGAACGCGAGAAGTTGTGGTTAGCGATGAACAGGCTGAAGGCGACCAGCATCGATAACATCACCATTTGGGATTTGCACACACTCGTCCACTATCCGGACAGCGCTCCAGGTACGGTTCACTTTATATTTTCCAAGAGTTAATTTCACTATTTGTACTTACTCATTTGAACCTATTTTATTGATTACTTCTCAAATTTTGCTGCTTCTAATGGAGTTTTTCCCCTCTCATTTACACCCCTCTTTATTCACTTGTTTCGGAACATAAATGCACACTCATAGGTTTTTTACTAGTTGAGTAATTTAATTCATATATTCAGTTAATAGGCATAATATTGAAAATCTAGATATTGATTAGGGGGTGGACAGCACTGTGGTGATGTCCATCATCACGAGCATGCTGCTAGGTTGATTCTGCTTCGGGTTAGCCAAGCCTCTCATCCCTCCGTGGTCGGGAAATTGGTACCAAAATTCACCAAATCCAATTGGGAAAGCTCCAGCCCGGCTATCTTAGGACTCCAGGGAGAATTGCTCGACCAGAATTCTACGATATTTAAGATGAAATGAAAATCCTCAAGCCGCAATTGAAACCTATAAATTTTCATGTAGAATATACAAAAAAAACTAAAAGAGACAGTTAACAATTTTTTTTAATTTCATTTTATACGACCTGCCTTCACGTCTATTTTGCGGATCCCAGCAGTTCCCACATTCGATTCGTTTCCTTGCATACATCATCCACTATGGTCGCCCAACTTTCACGTGCGGCTTCGGCTGCTACTTCAGGATTTTCATTTCACCTCGGATGTCGTAAAATGCTGGCCGAGTCTATTCTCGTTGGAGTCCTGAGATAGCCGGGGTGGAGCGTTCCCAATTGGATTGCAAAGAGTGATTTTTTCCCAGACAAGTCCGGTACCAATTTCCCGAGCTCGGAGGGACGAGAGACCTGGTCGGCCTAGGGGGGATCGAACCAGTATCGTGCTGGTGATGGTCGGCATCACTACCACTGTGTTCCCGATCCCTATTTGACAAATCATGGATATGAAGTTCATGTAGAATTTCAAAAAAAAAGACAGAGAAATTTTTAAAAGATTGTAGAACCAAGAAAATTGACGTTTTATTGATTAGATTTTTTACCTCTGTGATTACATTAATGAGTGAACGAATGAAATTAACTTTGTGAGTTTTAGTACCTCTGAGAAGACATGCAGTTCAGATTTTTTCTTTAAAAAACTAGAGTCGAATTTTTAGAGGCTTTTCCATACAAAAAAGGGATATTTGTATTCCGTGCGCATCCTTAGCGATGCCGTGGGCATTGATTTTTCCGGCTAATCGATAAATGTTGAGACTACTGATGGTTGAGGAAATCCCTATTTCTTAGTAGTATAATAAAAGAAACGATAAATAAAGGTGTACTCTACACGAAAGGAGCGTACGATTTTGTGCTCAAACTGATCAAAAATGCAACTGAAAAATTCCCGTTTGATGAAACGCTCATACTTACTTGTGGACAGTCCGTCTTCACGAGCTGAGCGGACCACAGCACATATGCCATTCGTTCCTTTCTCTCGCAAACGCACTCCATGATGGTGGTCTTGTTCGAGTATGTAGCGTGCGAGTTTCATACTGTTATCTGTAAAACAACTGCAGTTGAGAGTACAGCTGATTAGCTTTGCTTACGATCACGTCCGCCCAACGTGTAGGTGGTCGTCCAAGGAGACGTTTGAATTCTCTTGGAGTCCACTCTACTGTTCTTTTCGTCCATCTGTCGTCTGTTCTTCTCATTATGTGACCGGCCCATCTATGTTTCGCTGCCGATGTATGTTCTCCTGGATCTCGAAGATGTGACAGATTTCGAAGGTCAGATGCTCGCATTCCGGCTAGATATTGAGAGTGCCGGTTATATTTCAGAAGACATCGCTCAAGCATTCTATGAGTAGTGCGAAGCATTCTTTACGTGGTTGAATTATCAACCCACGTCTCTGCAGCACAACAGAGTGCTGGGAAGACCGTAGAATGGAAAAGATGAGCGCGGACTTTCGCGTCCTTCAGTTGATCGGTGGCTTCTTTGAGGAGCCCGATTGCGGCCCAAGCTGCTCTCCTTCTTCTATCTTTTCTAGTTCTTCTTTCATGTTGTTTTCATGCTCGTTGATCGCTCAAGGTAAACGTATGAGGTGGTCTCTGCAATGAGAGAGCCATCCAATTCAATTTTTTCGCCTTCGCACTATGGGTTTTCATGAACTGGGTCTTCTTTCGATTTATGCGAAGTCCTATCTTTTTCCCCACTTCGTTGAGCTCGTTGATCATCACCTGTGCTTCGCTAGTACTTCTTGAGAAGATGACAATGTCGCCGGCAAAACGAAGGTTTGATGGAAATTTTCCATCAATACGTATGGCTTTCTCATCCCAATCGACTGAGTTTATTATCCACTGCAGTGCGGCACTGAACAGCTTTGGAGATGTTGTGTCGCCCTGTCGAACCCCTTTTCTTATGGGTATTGTAAGAGGTCGATGAAAAAGCTGAATTTTCGTAGTGCAGTTCCCATAGCAGTCGGACAGAGTTCTTATGTAGGACTGGTCCACTTGTTGGTCGACGAGCGCTGATAGGATTGCATTCGTTTCGACACTGTCAAACGCTTTCTCATAGTCCACAAAGGTTAGGACTAGAGGCAAGCATTATTCCCGACAAACTTTGATGACCTTGGACACGGTTTGGATGTGGTCCATGCAGCAAAATCCTTTTCGAAATCCTGCTTGCTCGACTTGTTGCGCCTCATCCAATGTCCTTGATATGCGCGAGAGGACAATCTTCGTGAAGAGCTTCCAGAGTACACTTAACAAGTATATGGGACGATAGTTACGAAGATCCCTTCGGTCTCCTTTCTTGTGCAGGATGACCGCGCGCGACGTCCTCCACTGGTCTGAGATTTTTCGTTTTGAAAGTAGCCTGTCATATGATTTGCGAGAAGTGCATGTGAATTGTGGCCTCCAGCTCTAAAGAAGTCGGCAGTGATATTATCGGGTCCTGGAGCTGTGCCTCTTTTCATGCTTTCTATCGCAACTCAAACCTCCGACGGAAGAATTCCGGGTGAGTTTTCTCCAGCGGGGATATTAGGCCCGGTACGGGGATTGTGGAACGGAAAAGTTCGTTCATCAGTGCTGACCTGACACCGAAACATTATAATAACACAGGTCCTGACGGCACTTTTTCAGACTGCTTCCAGTATTTTTCTCTGCTTGCACCGTTGTAGATCTTTCCGCAAAGTTCTTCTGCAACTGGCATTTATTTCCAGCCATGTTAAACGTGTTGCAGTAGGATCAAGCTTCAGTTTCCTTCTCTTTTCGAGCAACTCCTTAGTAATAATTGAGATGCGATCCGATCTTCTTGCTTGAGGAACTGAGGCGAATTCGGCAGAGCTTTTCAGTCCTTCGACAAGCAGCTCGTAGTCTTCGGTCAGGTCTTCTTTAATCTGCCAGTCACGTTTGGATAGGACTTCGTTCAGAATGTTCTCGTCGTATACAGCTAGACTTTTTCCTCGTGGTCGATGAAGAGAGTTCTTTTCCAGCTTGCGGTTGAATCGAACCTTCGCGCGAAGAAGGTGGTGATCGGAACCAGTACAGAATAACCGGACTACCGATGTGTCAAGTAGGCACCATCTTCTGTTTGTCAGAATGTGGTCGATCTCCGCATAAGTCATGCCGTTAGGAGACACCCATGTCCAGCGGCGGCTTTCTTTCTTCTGGAAAAACGAGTTCCTATGGAAGAGACCTGCTGCGTACAGGAGTCCTGCGAGACTGTTCCCATTCTCATTTCTTTCTCCTAATCCAAAATTTCCGATCCTGTATTCGCTCTCGTTGGCCTTTGCTATTCTGGCGTTGAAGTCTCCGACAACAAATTTATGATACGCTTTACCTTTTCGAATGACTTTCTCCAAACGATAGTAGAACGCATTTAATTCGTACTCATCAGCTGCGTCGGTCGCTGATTAGCAGTTGGTGATAGTGATCTTCTTATGATGTGACAGCTGAAGATGGAGGACGGCTATGCGAGGGGAAAGGGTCACGCATGAGTCGACGAGATGGACAATGGACGGTTGAACGACAAAGCCCACACCACCGACATTTCGTGACGGGACCTTTTCTCCACGGATCACAAGGGTCCCGTTGTTTAGTTGGCGTATGTTGGTCTTCTTGATTTTTGTTTCTTGTAATGCGATCACATGAAATTTAATGGTATCTGCGGTTACAAGAAGGGTGTGAAGATCGGCGTCTGTGGAGAATGTTTTGGTATTATACGTGCATAGTAAGAAACAATCTCCATGGCGTGTCGTGCGTGTGTTCGTCAGATCCGGTTCCAATGACGTCCTGCGTAACCCGAGATTTCTTGGCCTCTCATCGATCGTCTCACCGTCTGACGTCATAGACGGGAGCACCCAGTGTGCGGGGTACTGAGCCTGGCCTATTGCTGGTCGTGCAACTTGGTCCTCTCTGGAGTCCTGACGTAACCTTGCAAGGGCGTATCCAGGTCTTCACCGTGATGTGGATCGGAGGGAGGTGTGTTTTCGGCGACGAATCCTTCGCTCGGTCTTCGTACTAGGTGATTCGGAGAGATTTTAAAATCTAAATCGGAAACGAAAGTAGTAATGTAGAAGTAGCTGACCGCTCAAGGACGATGTAGAAGCCCAATCCACTTATAAATAGGGTTAAAGTTCGATAGATATCAGAGAGTCGCTCAGTGTGTGACTTCATGGGGAACACGGAAGGATGTACCGCAAAATCGCCTCTGAAGATAAAAAGGTTAATAGATTCGCTTATTAAGAAATTAATCTAAGCTAACCAGAAGGATGCTGGGATATGAGTAGAGCCGATCGACGGTTATCCATCGCGGGTTCGAAAGCCGGCTAAGGCTCCTTGTTTTGCCCATATCTCGGTAGCCTTGCGGTTGTATATCACATAGTGCTCTGCCATGAAAAAAGAATAGGTAGTGAATAAGAGTTAAAACACCGCGTCATGAGACTGCAATTTAAGTTAAATTGCTTAGCCTATTGGTCTGAAATGTTTACTAATTCGTTAGTATAGACTATTTATACTTTTGCGCTAAATATATTGATCTCTATAACCCTATGAAGCTCCTAAATAAAGTAATTCCAAACATCTTTTTTAAAAAAAATGTCGATAGCTGCCGCTTCTTCCTACACCAAAAATTACACTTTACTGAGCTAAAGTTTAGTATCTGTTATCATCATGTTTTCATTTCTACAAATTCTTTGCGTCGTTCAAGCCCACTTATTTTTGATTTTTTATCCCTCAGTTTTCCAGCAATTCAAAAGTTCTCCAAATTACCAAGTAGGAACTTCCTTCTTGAGAACGTTCAAGTGCAGGTTTTTTTAAAAGATGTGTTAAAGTTGGTTTAGGTCTTCGTTGTAGTTGTTTTCTAGTCCCACTCGTAACAGCATGGCTCTGAGGAAGGCGAAATCGCCAAAACGTCAGCAATCGACCAATAACACCACTAGCAACGACAACAACAAAAACAACGACAACGAAAACCAATACCAACCTCGCATCTGCCCAAAAAGATCAGTTTATAAAAGGATAAAGGATAAAGATCTCGACATTGATCAATTCCTGAGGGTGGCGCCATGCATTCGACTTCTATGGAATCCACAGCTATGGACTGTCATCAAGCATTGTTTCAAGGTGGTTAAATGCATATCTGGCCTTTACAATGACTCGCGGCAGCCTACCGTTGTATCGAACCACTGTTTCTATCCTCTCAGACAAGTTTGGCATCAATTTGCCGACCTCGGAGGGATGGAAGGCTTAATGGGCCGTGGGCGCGGGATCGATTCCACTTGTGTGTTGGAGGGCTCCTCCGGCCAATGCGGCAACACGTGTCATTGATCAGTTTATAGGATCGTATAAATAAAATAATTCATTATGAGCAAATAGAGGAACTAACGTTGACTTAGAGAGTGACATGGTTTTCGTGCCCGGCAAAAATGTGAAGTTTATTTTCATCTTTTCTCGACTTTTTTTATTCCTAGTAAAAGAAAACCATTGTAGAAGCGTTAGGGTTTTTATTAAATAAAAGCGATAGGTATGGTTTCGGAATAATAATTAGAAAAAAGAATTGATGTTGAATTTTGGCAGCTATCAGGAGGAAAACTGAAAAGACCTTAAGCTTTCATTTCGTTTACAGTACTTTAAAGTCCGAATGTTTACAGTTCTCTTCAGTTGTCCAAAGCCACCAAAAACTTCATTATAGAAAATCATCTAAATCAAATTGCCATCGAAATCTGGTGAAAGCAAACAATTCTAATTAAAAATCAGTGATGGTTAAAATTCTTCTACAGCTTCCTACTAGAAAAATTTTGAGTTCAATGCCGATTTGGGCTCCCCAGGTCAATCCCGTTGACAGGTGGTTGGTGATGGCAAAAAATCGATAGAACTAGCTGAGAGACAGGCGAAACGAAGGAGCCGCATGGTGTGGTGGTGAACGCGTTACTCCCCGGAAAAGACAATAGGGCGTTCGTTTCCCACCACCTACGGTCCGGAGTTTTGCAAATATCTCAGCATTACAGTAGCTATATTTCGCAAAATATCCTGCCGTTAAAAGGAATAGGCAGCAAATAAAAAGGGTTAAAATTTTGAGTGCTGGAATTTTAGGCGCACACTGGGGTCCGGCATTTTTGCCGTGGCATCGTGAATTCCTTCGCCAATTCGAAGTTGCTCTACAGAGGGAGATGCCATCAGTTTCCTTACCATACTGGGATTCCACTCTCGATGAAGGTTTGTGTCATAACAGCTTTAGAAACCTTTTTTAAATGTCTTTTGTCTCGAAGTTCTCGAGTTCCCCTTCCACTTCAAATCATCTTCTTCAATATTTGGATGGCCTGGCCCGTCTTCATTATAATTATTATAATGCATGCTTCTACATATTTTCTATCTATTGGTATTCTGCTGACTAGATAAACATTTTTCCGCGGAAACCTTGAAATATGATGATGGGCATTCCTTTCTGGTAGCAACGAAAAGACGTTTGTCGTGTTTGTCGTTGATCATCAGAAAAGCACACCATGGTTCTGCCATGGTCTCTGATATATCATAAGTTTACTCTTAGCCGATGGACTTTTGAATGGAACTATCGAACTCGTTCTTAACTTCGATAATCCTGTCATGAAAATGGCGCCAGGTACAGGCAGTTTATCAGCATGCACGTGAATATTTTTAGTACCCTTTAGGATATTGTAGTGTTTACCAATCCCTACAACTTTTCTGCAGCAATAATTAGCACTGGTCACCGGTTGAATTCCATTTAGTACTTGGGAACCCCTTTAACTTCAGAACAAAGTGGCGATTAGCTAAGAGACGGTTTTAGCGCTCTTCGTACATCAAACTCTAAACGCTGAAAGAAAACGAATCTGTGACCTCACGGACATCATCAGGCATCTTGTTCAATACCGGCTTTTCATGGCGTTCGTGTGGTGGCCATTTGACCGGTTTGTGGTTGATGGTCGTCGTAGACGACCCGTCGTCGCCATGAAGTTGATGATACGCACCGGATCGGCTCCCTATGGCCACCCTAACCCGTTCTCGACGGCCGCTCAACTCTTGCACACTGTTGGGTCGAAGATGCTTTCTCTTCGACTTACAACATGGTGGTTCAAGAATCAAAAATTGTCATTCATGAAAAGAACAAGTACTCTGGCAGCAGATAAGCACGCAGAAAATGATTAATGGAAAAAAGGATAACGTTCTTGGCACCGACCAGCCTCTGAGGAATGTTTCATGCATTCAACTTCATTTTGCATTGTTAGAGGAGATTGAATGCATATCTGGTGTATACTATGACTTGGGTGGCCTACTGATTTATTGAGTCAGTGTTGCTATGCTCCCAGAAAAGTCTAGCCTCATTCTGCCGATCCCGAAGGGTTGGAGGGCTTCGTGTGCCTGGGGCACGGGATAAAACTCATGAGTATTGCTGGACTCCTCTAACCACTGCGCTACGCGCCCCTTGAGGCAACTTTATTTTTTAACGAGCACTTTATCGTTTTATCTATAATAATCAGTGACGAGACATTTTTTTCTAAAATAGAGATCTATAACGCGCTCCCGTGGTGATTATCACTGTTAATCTGCTAAACCTTCCATTTTTTTTTGGTGGCTTCAAACTTTTACCAGGTATTAGTTTCTGATTCGGATTGAGCCTTCCTTATTCTCTACTAGCATGTAAATTTACGAAGAGTTTTTCTTTCAGAAAGTCTCATTCCAATCAGAGAGTAGGAGAATGCTCAGACCGAGGCACTTGAGAACGCCCTTGAATGGGTTAGAGCTGTCGGCTAATGACAAGAATCGCTTCTATCCTGGAAGAGTTTTTGTCCCAAAGCAGAAAACCTTTTTTCGATTTCCAAAAGGTGACTAGGTTGAAGGTCCACAAGCGCGTTAACACGGATATCCAGTAAAACGATAGAGAACGACGCTCAACCAGAGTGTATCATGTCAGTGAAGGAGGAAAGCGGCAGATTCTTGAACAACAGTCAAATCCACTGAGGAATATCGACATGGGTGCAGTCCCGAGATAAAGAAACTTTTGGGGTTTGTGCTCAATGTGAGGATTGTTTTCATGTTAGATTTTTATGAAACCAGTGACTGTTTTTATTCTTTCGCAGTCTGCTTGTTTTTGTAGCCCTTCGAATTATCCTTTTTTGCTCCATCCACGAGATTTCTCTTCATTCAGTCACTTTTACAGTATTTCACACATCACTCACAGCAGACAACTTAAATTTTTTGCTCACCACGAACTTGTTTCCATTAAATTACATCAAACTGATTTCGATAACAATTAGATCATTAGAATTACAAATTGCACAACCAACTGAGGCAACCAGTTATCAAATTGCATTGACGTAGCCACTGTGAGTGGTTGCTAGTGGTTCCAAATTACATGTTAGTTTACTAAAAGTCCTTCGTAAATTTTTTCGAGTAAGTTTCACAGAAGGGCGTGTGTGGCGAAGTGGTCGGAGACGCTCTACAACACACACATAGAATCGATCGCTGCGCCCATAGCCTGTCAAGCCTTCCATCCCTCCTGGGTCGGTAGACTGATACCAGATTTGTCTGGGAGGATTGCAGAACTGGCTCAATACATCGGTAGGCCGCCGCGAGTCATTTTCATTTCAGTCATTAAAGGCCAGATGTGCATCCAATCACTTCCAAACGATGCTTAATAATGTCGAATGCATGGCGCATCTCTCAGGGATTGATCAATGCCGAGAGCTTTATCCTTTATTTTTATCCCTTAAGTTTCACAGCAAACGGGGTAGTACTTTCACTAATGGGTCACATTTTTTAGGTCAAATAAACTTCGTGATAGGAAAAATGGAGTAGGTCTACGCATATTACTATTAATAGCAAGAATTCTTATTATTATTACTGTTCAAGACCCGCGTGGTGTTGTGGTGAACGCACTAGCTCCCTGAAAGGGTAATAGCGCGTTTGTTCCCTACCGAAGACACCTGCTGCTCGAAATATTGCAAATATCTCAGCATCATTGTAATTACTACTATTATTGTTACTGTCACCGACTCGTATGACTATCGTCAACTTTGCAGCCACGCTTTACTCATTTATCATTTATTCGTTTCGTTTCACATCATTGATTGATATTCTCACACGAATCAAAGAATGAGTGCTGGGCGAATGAGATTTCTCTAGCACCATGATAGCCTTCCATATAGAGTTCAAACAAACTTACGTGTTTCTGCAATGTATATTTATTTAATCAGTAACCCAAGCGGTATGGTTGGTGGTACGCTGCGATGCACATGGTCTTCGGTTCGATCCCGTTAACAGATTTAATAAGCCAATCCTTAGTAGATTTTAGTAGTAGTTAGTCTAGTGAATTAGCATGTAATTGGATTCATTGTTTCCCATCTCGTTTCAGGACTTCCTGATCCATCAGACAGTGTAATGTGGAGCGATGAACTTCTCGGAAACGGTAACGGCTATGTGAAGACAGGACCGTTTCAGAATTGGGACACAAACGTACTGATGCCGTTGAGTCGAATTCCAGTGAAGAAATTGTACAGGTTTGTTAGAGAGCGATTACTTTTCAGTTACCAAAATGAATGGGAGACCTTTATGCTCCATAAAATGAGATATAAAAATTAACCACGTGAATTTCCTCGTTAGTCGACTTCACAGTAAACAACACTCTTAGTCGTTTACGATCCTTTGTTAACGACGTTCGACTCCTGAGGAAAACGAGGGCTATCCATGATGTGATGGGGCGTACAAGATGGTTTGTGATGGTCATCATCTTAGCGAAAATATGCGGGTATGCATTACTTTTCATTGGTGACTTTTTTTAAAAAAACTAACCGTTCACATCAGGGAAGAAAGCCTTCGTTAGAAAAAGGAACTGCAATTAGAAAAGTTCAAAAACTTCTTTAAAGTGGCTGTAAAAATTCTTTTTGAAGAATAGTAAAATAAATCGTAGCATTCAAGAAAAACGGAAAATTTCGCATCTTTCTGATGTGTTAATACACCCTATATTTTAACTTATTATTTACTGCCTATTCTTTCTAATGGCAGGGTATGTTGAGAAATATAACTTCAATGATGCTGAAATATTTGCAAAACACCGGATCGCAAGTGTCTGCGGTGGCGAACGAGCGTGCTATTATCTTTTCCGGGGCTAACGCGTTCACCACCACACCACGCGGATCCTTCGTTTCGCCTGTCTCTCAGCTAGTTCTGTCGATCTTTTGCCATCAGCAATCATCCGTCAGCGGGATTGATCTGGGGAGTCCAAAATGGCATTGGACCCAGTCAAGCTGAGGCTGTAGTTGTAATCGCAATTTTAATCGCCGGAGTTTTGTAAATATCCCAGAATCATTGAAGTAATATCTCACAACCTACATTCCTCACATTTTTTCAATCATACGATCTTCGCCTATCGCTTCTTGCCTTTCTTTTCGGATATTCTTTGTAATTTTCACAGTTATCTCATACCTATTTCCCGCAATCTGTCATGTTAACGTTGAAAGGTTCTTTATTGATAGACATTACAATGTGGATGAAAAATTGAACATGTGCTTAAACGTACATTACTGTTGGAATTTACTTGTTAAGAAGATATTTGGCGTGTGATGGAATTTTCGGTTCATTTTCTACTCTCCTTCTACTCTGAGACTTTGAATGTAACCCCTTTGTCACCTTAAATTTAATAACTGTTTGACTAAACTGATTCTCTGAGCCATTTTTCCTCTATCTTCATTGCCTTTTTTTTTCTGAAAAAAAGACGAAGAAACAGAATTTATGGTGAACGTAGTAGTTTTTACATCTTACATACCCTTAACTTCGTATCTATTAAAATCGAATCCTTTCAGATCAACTGGCGGTAGAGAACAGGACCGTCTGATGAGTCCGAGTGATGTTGAATGGATCATATCCAGGAAAAATTACAGGTAAACTGGATCGTTTATGTTCTTTTATAGGTTTAGGCCAGTAAAAGTTTTAGAAAACGTCCGTTGGTTGGTAAGAAAAAGTTTGTATAAAAACTTTTATTCGGCTAACCCTTCCGCGCCTCCGTCCTTCCCAGAGCCTCGTTGTTCCGAGCCAATGGTCCACAGCCGTTCGTTCTTGCGGTTTGGTGTCGCTGTCGCATTGAAAAGAATACAATAGTAGGAGCGCCGCTGGAATGAGGAACTTTCCGGACACAGTGCGCTCTTTAGCAGTTTGTACGCATCCGCTGGCACGTAGCGTTACAAATAATGTCTTGAAAACTGACATTGCCCGCCAAATTGGAGATCATATTGGGTGGCGGGAATCTACAAACATCTGTCCTGTATAATAGAGCATCGCAGAGGGAAGTTTCCCATTCTAGCTGTGCTCCTTCTACTGGGTTTGACTCTATGCGACAAGGAATGTCCACACCGCGACAACGAACAGCTGTGGACCATCGCCTCTGGTCAACGCAGCTCAGAAAGGAAACGGCACGGAACTGTTAACCGCATAAAAATTTTTATACCAACACTGTATCAGCTTTATAGTGCGAAACATTTTTGACTACTGTTAAAGAGATTTAACGGAAGTTGGTTTTTAAAATACTGATGTGAAAGAATTTGAACCAAGCTTAATTCGCATTGACTGCTTAATTAAGAATAAGCATTCTGACTAGTCCCCGGTAAATCCGATCAACGATGTGAAGTTCCAAGAAGACTCCGTCACCGTCAAAAGTCTGCTCAAATAATCCGCAAAGAGCCAACAAATTTTCATATCCCGAATGAATGGAGTAGAGTTGTGGCTGTTACATCGTCTTCGAACGATCGAATTCTATGCAACTACAGGAATTGCTGTTATTTCGGAAAAATCCTAGTCACAAGGCAGCATACTTTCCACCACTCCACAAAAGGCCCGTTGCTTCCTCAGGTGATCACACCCAACCTCGAATTTACTAAAAAAAAATTATGCTTAAGTAGCTTGTTGCTTAAGAAAGTCCTTCTATACTTTTACTTCTCAGTACTTGGTACGCTTCTGGAAAGTCCTTCTTTATATCGTCTAATTGCAAGTGGACTTGAATGTTTTGAACCATCGCTTATTACAAAAAACTTCGCTAAATAGTCAACTAAGTGTTGAAGTAAGCTGGTTGTAAACCTAAATGGAATGTATTTCAATGGTTTTTCTAGAATTTACGGTTTTTCTTTTTAGTCAACTTACATTTTGTCACGACAAAACGTTCGAAAGTATGCATGGATTGAGTCATGTATGGGTCGGTGGTTTCATGTTCGTCATAAGGTGAGTAGTCATCAGTTTCATCTACCGCTTCATGTCGTTGTAAAAGAGAGCTCCCTTCTCATCAACTGGTTATCCATTTTTTAAGGGATCCGTTGAAATAGATCTTTTTCATACTAGGCCTAAAACGTTGGAAGGATTATATTTTTCTCAAACAATAACAGTGCTTCTCTGTCTTCTATTACTTTGTTCCTAACCTTCTTTCTCCACTTCACTTTCATTTCCTGCCTTCATTTTCCACTTCGTTATCCTCCTTCTGCCCTCTTTCTTCTTGCTTCTTTCCAATTTATTAACCAGATCCATAGGTCGTCCTTTCTGATTTAGAGTGAGTCCGAATGATCCTATGTTCTATCTTCATCATGCTTTCGTCGACTATCTATGGGAGCAGTTTAGAAAAAAACAACAAAGCCGAGAGCAACGAGAAACCCAATGGGCCCAGGCAAGCATTCTTCTGTGACATTTATCCTCATGAAACCAGCCTTCATATCTCTTACCCTGCTTTTTCCTCTGTTTCATCGCTCGAAATCAAGACAGGGCTCATATTTGTATCGTCTGTCGAATAAACAATTGTTTAAAAGTTGTAATTGTTTTATAATTCGGTCCCTAGAAAGGTTAGGTATTTTTTGAAATTCTACTAATAAACAATTTATTGTTTAGCAATAGAATTTCTGAGGAGAAAGCTTCAATTTCGTTTAGGATACGTGCAACGAATTACATGGATACGATGAGCAGATGAAGCCGTTTCGCCTACAGAATCGTGACGGGCTCAGTAATCAGTACACTGATGAGTGGTGAGCATTAACTTAATCAATACCGAGGACGTGAACCAGAATCGTAGCATTTTTTCCGTTCACCACCTATGCAGGTATGACTACGAACCAGTACGGCACTGTACGTCGATGATACCTGAATGCGATTCACCGTACTACTGGTGTGATACGAAATCGTGGCGGTGCCGAAGCAAGGTGCATCAGCTTATTAGCTAGTTATTGGTTTTTTATACTGTAGAACTTTTTGCTTTTTATTGTTATTATTAGTGGAGCATGCAGCTCAGCAGTCTGAAGTGCTATTCAACACACACTTGGTCGTTGGTTCAATCTCACACACTAGGCGACCCACACCTCCCATCCTCAGTTTGGGTTCGGAAAATTGTTACACAGATTTACTATATAGTAGTTTACAGTGAGTCATTTCATAGGCCAAATTCGCATTTAACCACTTCACTTGGGCTATGAATGGTGTCAAATACATGGTGCATCTTCATACATTGATCGACAAAGTCGAACACTTCCAAAACCGTGCTAAAAATCATAACAATAGTTCTGATTGGTTAAATTTAGGTCGTTCTAGGAGGTAACTGCACGGGATTCGAAGGTACGGGGATTTGTTACAACTCGGTTTGTCAGCAGGTAAGATAGAGAGAACTGTTTTTCATCTTTCCTTTGTATTCATAGATCGTCGGTCATCATAATTCACAAGGCAGTTCATTTCCTATCATAAGAATTCGTAACTCTTCCATTAGATTTCGAAAGTCCTGTGGCTGTATCACATTTAAGGGTTTCAAGCCAGCCAAAAATATAATAAGTGCATTTACACCATGTCGTTTAATTATGACTGCAGAGACTTAAACCATAGTTCTTACAAGTAGATTATAAGTGATAACATCAACTGAACAAAGGATCGCTCTAAATGTGTCGTTTTCTTTTCCAGCAATTGCGAGGTTGTTATTCAGCCCGCGTTTATTACCTTACAAGAGGAACACATACAACACAACGGTAGCTCACCATTTCAGCAGAATCGCCTTCTTCAGATCCTGGAGGGGTACACTGATGCGCAACTTAGTAGGTCAAACGCTTTAACAGCACAAACAAGAAGATGAAAATCTGAACGATAAATGCAGGGTCAACGGCTTCTCGAAAAACCCGCCGATTTTTACCTGCCTTCCACCGAGGAAGAACAGCCGCTTAG